ATCATAATTCTTCAGGGAAGATTCCTGTTATTATAGAATATCACAAAATAAACTTTTACACAATCATTACTTATAATAAAATGTAATGCACATAAATATTTATGATACTTATTTCCATACTGATAAATTATAATTTAACATCATAAATAATAGGATTAAGATTTTCAGAATTTATGGTTTCACCGTTATCATCTTTCATTTACAATTCCTGATTTTACCAAACTGGGAGGCCTCGCAATACTTCTAAACAAACCATATCCATCAGTAGGGCTGTCCTCTTGAGCTAACCAGTGTGCTCTATGCACTGGTGGCCCAGGGTGCCTAGGCAGTTACTTGAAAAGGCCTCCGTTCCTTGCATTAAGGTAACTGGCCTTTGAGAACTGCATTAATACATTCCATAATATAATAATAATAATAATGTAAAAAATTTACATGCATTCATAAAATGAGAGCCTCCAACATTATCTTACTTGAAGAGGGTGAAGGGAACAACTGTACAGAGGTAATTACAGGCCTCTGTTGAAGGAACCAGTACACATTCATCATACTATACTTAGCACACAATAACCCATAAATTTTAATATGCATTTACTATAATTTCATATTACTTATCTGTACTAATTTCACTTATTTTTAACATCTTTATTTTTAGAATAATTATAAAATTCGTATTCAAAATTCTCAACAAAATTTCAAAAACATAATAACTTATCTTAATATCCTTCCCTATGAATAATTTAAATAGCTTAAAAAGCGTTACTTAATTTTGCTCACACATAATATGAAAAAATGAAAAATTACTGAACAAGAATTTCAGATTTTCTCAAAACAAACTGCAGAAATTTTAATTAAAGTTGAAATGAAAACTATAGAATTCGCAGCATATTAAATGATTTAGTTTCTGAGTTAGGATTCACACGAATGTAAAAATTTTGTGAGCTGTTGAAAAAGTGGAAATGCAAATAATTTTCTGTCGCACATACTTGCAAACACTAACTCAGATCTACCTTGAACCCGCTGTAATGCTTAATTCCAAAACGGTAATGCACTGATGATTTCCTTTTCACTAGGCGTTCCAACTTCTCAATTTATCGAGAGATCACTTTCAATTTGATAAACACTACGCGTGATTATTTTTTTTTTTGAAGCATTTGCACCACATAGACCCATATTGAAGAAGAATGATCTGTTATTTTTTAAACACTGAAAAAACAAATTTGATGATTCACTTCTTTCACATTATCTTGGATTTATCACAAAACGATGATTGGAAGAGCAGAACTAAATTTTCCATTGAGGTTTCAGGCTGCAGGAAACTATCCTTACCGGCTTATTGTCATAATAAAAGCAAAGGAATTGACGGAGCAGTGTAGATGCATGATTAGATCCATATTGAAGAAGAATTTTGATTGCGTAGTATTTAAAGAACTTGGCAGTCGAGGCAGTTTTAATTCCATTTTTTTTTTCCAATTGATATTGTGGCCACAATCACTTGGCACTCTAGTCGTGCCTTCCACAGAAGATTTACATTTTTGATATGGTTGGATAGAAAGCAAGCCAGCGAAATTACATCTGGCACAGTAGAGAGCAAAAGCTGAAGTGCGTATTTATGAAGGATGGAAGCACGCGAAGAGAAAAGTTTTGGTTTACAACGACAGTTTCAGTTCTTAATTATTACGTCATCGGAGTTGCGCGGGGGCCATAGAGTGATCTAGAATGACGCAATGCAGAGAAAAGTTATACGATTTTAGAATAGAGAGGAAGAATTAATGTTATAGTTATATTATAGTTCTGATTCAATATTTTTTATCTTACATATATATGTAATAATAAATTCCATAGTCAAAATACACTTAAAATTCTAACTGTAGTTCTTTTCATTTTTAATGGCAACGGTCTCTTATTGAAAGTACGTGGAATTAAATCCACAGCCCCGTATTCAAGTTGTTTTTCCCGCCTTTCTAAGTACAGTTTATAGAATGTTCTGGAGATATTTAAAGTGAACTGGAATGGCTGACGAGGCTGACGTCATTTCTTGGAAGCTCCGCCTTTCCAGAGGCTATAAAAGGACTCGCAAAGGAATATCGGGGTCTACTTGCCAATTATTGCTTATCAGAAGAATAATTTTTATGAAATTTTAAAAATGCCTTAAAATACATCCTGCAAGAGTTGGCGCAACCAGAGCTCCAGTCAACTAAAATGCTAATAAAGTCAATGAAAAAGTCAATAATAAAGTCAATGAATAATAATGAAATAAAGTCAATGAATGTGTATAATACATTTGATCCCTACTAATAGATGCGCATCACACGAGCACCATCATTTGATCAAAGTTTACTTATTCTACGAACGGCGGCACAGGAGCCTCCGTCTCTAGTAATCTCTGAGTTCTAGCACAGCATGTGTACAAGTACTTCCATATTATTGGATACAACTCACTCGATTCTTCAAGCATTTAAAAGTCAAGTATCATATATTGGTAAAGGCCGTTAATGGTCGATTGCCTCTTACTAAGGGATAAGACATAGACATAGACATATATCGGAGTCTTTTCTTTAAATGTAACGATGCAGTAAACTTCATACAAAAAGTTATTAGTAGTTCTTTTTTATTTACTCCGGAGATCTGCTTTTTAGTAACTGCTATTTCTCCTAAATAATAATAAATGGATCCTGTTTTTTAAACTTATCGTCTGTTACTTTGAGCTATAACTACGTCTATGATTCTTCACCAATCTATTTATTCCGGACAAAAGCTGGTACATCAAATATATATACCAAAACATTTATGGTATATATATATATCAAAAACTGTGTAACTTATGAGCAGATTCAGTTGCTATATAAGATTAACAAATGAGCCGTTTTGAATTGGGGAAAGGAGAGAAAGAAGGAAGAAAAATGAAACAGACTATACAGTGAGAAATTATTACAATTTTATTTGTTAAAAAAATAAATAATAGTAAATTAAATATAAAAATTTAGAAGAAATAAGCAAACATAAATAATTATTTTTATTTAAAATACTAAAAATATTTTATTATATATAAATCATAAATATATATTTCAAAAAGTTATAAATACATAAACTTGCTGAATAATTTATCAGTGGGCTTATTTCCATGTTAGCTTTTTTCTGTGTGAGTATATTTCTAAGTGAGCATTTTTCCATGTGAACTTTTTTCTATGTGGACATATTTCTGTGTGGTTTTTTTTTCCTGTGAGCATTATTCTATGAACACTTTTCCTGTGGGCTTTTTTCAACAGCTATATTTGCTTACATTTGAAACTTATCAGAATAATGAATGAAGTGAGTTTCTGCACTTCCAGTGTCTTTTTTGCCGAGTGGAATCAATAGCAAATTTTCAGTTTTGTGCACCGAAAAATCTAACATGTTACCCGCTGACCAAATTGCTTATTTTTGCACAGAAGCTCAAATTTTAATTGTAAAATTTGTTTAAATTTTATTTAAAACTGTATTTGGTATTTTTCCGCATTTTACAATTTTTAATGAAGGTATTTTCAGTTTTGTGCACCGAAAATTTTCAGTTTTGTGCACCGAAAAATCTAACATGTTACCCGCTGACCAAATTGCTTATTTTTGCACAGAAGCTCAAATTTTAATTGTAAAATTTGTTTAAATTTTATTTAAAACTGTATTTGGTATTTTTCCGTATTTTACAATTTTTAATGAAGGTATTTTGAGATTTTATGTATTTTTTCTTGCCGCGAAGTGAGAACTGAATTAATTGAATGAGAAATATTTCTAACGAAATTCAAGCAAATAAGTTTAAATGAAATGCAGCAAAAAAATGCGTATAATTCAATATTCCGCACAACGAAATCATGTGGTGTCCACATCAATTTTTTTACATAAATATATAGATACAGTTTTGGGTTAATTTTAATGGCATTTTCTTCGTGTATTTTAACACAACAGCGAATTTGTTGCCAAAAATAACAAGAAAATTCTTTAATAACATCAAGATTGGAAACAAAAAATGGAAAATTAATTTTGAAATTAGGGAAAGTTCATCCTTCGATTGATCATCCTTAGAAATTGGAATAAAAATTAAATTATAACTGTCATAAAGAGGTATGCTTGAGTTGGTTTTGGGATGGATAATGGGAATTTGTGTAAGGGTTGTGTATTTTCAGAAAAGTCATGAAATACAAAATAAGTATCAAACTATTTTGAAACTCGATTTGCATAAAAAAGAAGAAAATGAGAAGAAAATCGCATAATATATATGATTATTTGCAAAAACTACAATACAAATCCAAAGCAAAAATTTAATAAGAGTGTAGTTTCCTCTGTTAAAACCAGAATTAGATTTCCTTTGTTAAATAGTCTCTGTTAATTAGCCAGAGCTATGCGTTTTACCAACCTTAAAATCTGTCACCTCTGAATTCTGTCATTCTGAGCGGCAGCATAGCCCAAAATTAACGATGATTGTTCAATCGATTATTTTACAAGCCATTTTTTAAATAGTTTGAAAAATTAAGTTCTACTACTTCATAAGACATTTTGACATATTTTCCATTAACTATATACACTTTACAGCCTTTATTTCATTACTCAGTGATTTGATAACTATTATTTTAATTACTATTTCTACCACTAGTACTATTACTACTACCACTTTGTGATACTTCGATCACTCCGCTGCAAAGACATTGTTCAAATGCGCTTTTGCTAGGACAGCTTAGCGCGACTGGGTCTGAGTATGTTACGATGCAAAGTGCTGCCAGTTCTATATTGGAAGTTAAAGCTTAATGAGAATTAACTGCCTTTTCTGGCATACTGATCAGATAACAACGACTCAAACTACATTCTTTGTCAGAAAAGTTGCAGAACAGTCTTTTTTTTTTTTTTTTTTTTTTTGTTTCTGAGTTTGCAGTAATAAATAGGAACAAATGTTGTTTTTATGTTACTTGGTATGTATTTTTACTTGACATGACCTTGGCTATGTTTCCACGCAAACTTACTATGTGGTAGAGATGTGCTTAGCAACACACTGTTCGGATTGTTGTCGCATTCGTTATGGTGACACAATGGATCCTGATTGCGAGCAAAGAGTGAACATGAAGTTCTGCGTTAAGCTCGAGAATATCCCCAGTGAAATGTGGAACATGATTAAGCAAGCATATGCAGGCGAGGCACTTTCAAGAAGTCATGTTTTCGAGTGGCACAAACGGCTTCGTGAAGGCAGAGATTCAGTGCAAGACAATCCCAGAGCAGGTCATCTGTCTATAGCATATACCGACGCAAACATGGAGCATGTAAGGCAGTTATTGCAAGAAGACTGTCGTGTAACCGTGCGTATGATATCAGAAGAACTGAATTTGAATCGTAATGTGTGTCATAAAATTTTTCGCGAAGATTTGGGGAAACGGAAATTTAATGCATGAATCGTCCCTCTCTCATTAATAGACGGACAGAAAGTGGTAAGACGAAGAATTTTTACTAAACTATTGGATACAGCCAGACGTGATCCCCCATTTGTGTCAAAGATCGTGATTTTTTTTCATGTTTCCGTAAGTGAAAAGGTGACTGAAAGGAAAGCTTCATTAAGATTATTGCAGACATCCAACGGTCTGTGACAAATGAGCTTGCAAGCATCGCAGTTGAACATTTTCTCGCTTGCTTCCAAGACCTCCAGAAACGTTGGAAGTTGTACATAGATAACCAAGGGGACAACTTTGATAGCACATAGGATCATTGCTTGGTGAATGCAATTATCTATATTTTACTACCTTTGTCCTGGAACTTTTCTGGCAAAGGATACAAGTCAAAGTTTGTATTTAAAGTCTAACAACCTGGCTCCGCTACCTTGTGACTATTAACTTAATTTCTGTCAAATTCACCAGTTCAGAACACAGCCTTAAAAACAGGCAGCAACAGAGAAGCTTCAACATGGCTGACTGAGCTTCAACATGGCTGACTATGGTTGCCAAGTCTCTCTCTCTCTCACCTGAATGTAGATTTTCGCTGGTTATTCAAACTCACCTCATTTGTATTTCCTGTTGGAGTAAGGAAAATGGTAGAAATGCAGAAGAAGTTTAACATGTTAGTTTTAGTTTAAGAAATAACATGTTAGTTTTAATAAACCTCGTGTACTGAAGAACCGGGATAAGCATTGACTGTCGAAGTTGATTTGTTGGTGTTTCATTAATGGAATAGGGATTTGTGTGTGAAAATGTATTAAAATAATTGCAGCTGTTTTTTTTAAATATAAATTGCCTTTTTCTCTCAATGCAAAATGAAATCAGAACCTATCTGAAGAATCAAAAATTAATCACGAAACTTTAGCTTCAAAGCTTTTGCTATAAGGCGAAAATTCCAGATGAAATGAAGTGAGAGAAGTGTTTATGAGACGACAGAAAATTCTACAAAGCTCTTTCTCAAAACTCTGAAATTTTTAAGAGAGAAAAGCTGCTGTAGTTAGCAGAAGCGCCAGTTCACGTCTCGGAACCATGAGCATCATAAACAGGAGAAGGTGCGGAGATCAAGTCGAGGAGAGCAAAGAAAAATGTGAAAGAAAAATCAAAGAAAGCGGAGGAGAGAGGGGAAGCTTTAAATGGTGACGTCTTATCACCCCTGTCACATAAACTTCGCCCCACTGCCAACTCACAAACTGTAAGAAAATGGAGATAGGGCGCGAGTCGTAAAATTGCGATTAAAAGAGCCACAGACGGCTTGCCAAGTACTGAGTGACACTGAATCAGAATTTTTTTTTCCTCTCCGTCGGCTGTTATTCTACTACATTGAGAGGAAAGCTGAATATTTCTCCTCCCCAGATTTTTTTTCCTGTCTTTCCCCGTGCAGAAGGTGCCTGAAATTTATCACATGTTGCTTTCTTAACAGAGAAAAGTATAAAATTACTCATAACTTTAACTGTTTCGTTGAAACAATTGAACCATAATGCTATATTTCTCACTGTGAAAATTATAGCTATTAATTACACTATTTCATCTCTACTGTATTCATATTATTTCCACGTATTTCAAGGTAAAATAGAAGCAAAATCCATCAGAAAAATCACAGAAATACACTGAAAATTCATCTTCGAAGCCTTTACTATAATGCAAAAATTCGAAATGAAAAGAAGCGTGGTAAAAGTGTACAACATATATTTTACATGAACGTTCAAGGGCAAAACAAATATCTCAAATGCTTATATTGAAATACACAATATGTACGTATCCAAATGATCAGAAGGTTGTTGATGCTTGTTCCTTGATCTATTACACCAAGATATTTTACTGTACATTTATTTACAATTTATTTACAAGTCGTATGCCACCTGGCATATTTACAAGCGTTATGCCTCCTGGCATGTACATGATAGACATATTCTGCCACCTGGCATGTGAATTGATACATCATACTAGTTTTCTGCCACCTGACAGATACGATGCAATTACCTCAATTAGCGGTAATACGCCCGACATTTTGGCGTGTCCGCTTCCCTTACGTTCTGTAACGCAACTAACTTTTTGTGCGGTGCGCCCTCTGGGCACAAATCACCGCAATCACCGAGGAGGCCAAAAACTCCTCCCCCCCCCCCCCCCGATGAATTACATTCATCTTAATACAATCTTCAATATATGCAAACAAGTAAATGAAAAATATAGAAACTGAAAACATACAAAAACCTTCAAAAAGTATTAAAATTACATGTTACACTTACCAATCTACACTTACCATCTTATATCTTACTATATTGAAACGTTAACTATGAGGGTTAAACTAGAACAAACAAATAAAATTATTAGTACAATAAGAAATGAAAATAATAATAAAACATATTGAATATGAAACAAACACTTAAGTTAATGTTCTTCAACTGGTAAAAGACACAGTTTGGTAATAGGACGTTTAATGTCCCCGTGCACAGTTTTTAGTCTAACTACTCGGACATTAATGTCTCTTCCAGGAAACACTTCTATTACTCGCCCGAGTTTCCAATGTAATGAAGGCATATAGCATATTTTAGATTTAATAAGAAAAATAAATGTAAAACGAGTTTCATAGTGTCGAAATCCCGTTTGGCTCCATTAAAAAGGGTAACACTCCCTAGGCTTGAACTTTTGGGAACATTAATTTCTGCAAGATTAGGTTCGTATTTGCAATCGATATTTCCGCAGTTGGATAACGGAAATATATTTTACTGGACTGATTCCCAAATTTGCATTCACTGGAATCAAGGGATCTGCCAACGAGTGGAAACAATTTGTTAGAAATCGTGTGGTAGAAATCAAGGAGAAAACAATTTTAAACAACTGGTACTTTTGCAGTGGGAAGACAAACCCTGCTGATAAACTTACGAGGAGGCCAAAACACAATATATGTGACGTATATAACATTATGTAAAGAGCATATATTTTTTTATTATGCATGTATATGTTTGCAAGCTTATGTTTTGAAAATAATGTAAATGGCTGGAATTAGAGCATCCCATAAAACAATTATGTTCCCATCAAAAAACAATACTCTTGTTATTTTTAAGTGATTCCATCAAAAAACAATGTCCCATCAAAACACAATACTCAATATAAAAAAATCTGATGTAGGTACTACACGACTTTCTTGTACGGTCTATTAAATTATACTCATTTTTTGCTTCTCTTCGGGTAAATTTATTTCCTCTAATTATTCTAACATAATAAACCGATGTCTCAAGGCAAGTTGAAACTAATATCAAAAGTAGTAAATTTTGAAATTTAATATACCGGTCAATTTCGTCATTTAAAACTTGTAACGGGAATATACACACACACGTTTGGTACTTCAGATTACAATAAAAAAGCGAGGTGCAGAACTAGTTGTATAGCAATCCCATGTACAAAATTTCAACGATGTATGCGAGATACATACGACGATACAGAATCAAAGTTTCAACATTTCAACGATAATCGTAGGTACGTACGTACGTATGTATGTATTTCGCATAACAGACGTCACGACAAAACGTCACGGGAAAAAAAAAAAAAAAAAAAAAAAAAAAAATTGACTGTAGGGATTCGAAAACGGTCTAAATGGATATTTCTGTTAAAATATGATACCCGAAAATTTTCACGATTACAATAGTCCTTTTTACTCTGTGGAAGTAAAAAAAAAAAATCATGTATTGTCCAAGTTCTTGTAATACATTGCTTATCAGTGTTACAAAGTAAACTAGTATTTAAAACATATACGCAGTACGTACTTTTAAATATAGTTGTCGTTCCACTTAATATGGATTAAATCTTGATAAAGTTTTCGTAAGATGAAAATATCATTAAGTCGAAAAGGAACGTAGTGTACGAACATTGAAGATTATATTCTTATTACAATTAACCTAAACATTTCGTAGCATTCCTAAACATACATATGAATTCTCATCCAGAGATTAACCTAGAATTAAGGTTACCATATTTTAAGATCGAGAATCCATTGGCAAGGGGGGAAGAGGGGGCATTAGACATAATATCCCAGCGCAATCTTCTAAAAACTGTTTTTAAAATTCAGACGTGTAAAGTATATATAACACATGCATTTTTGTGTTGTTACGATATTATATTTTTTAATTTACCTGTGGTTTCCCACTAAATTAAAAAATCTGAAGACTAAATTATAAAATCTAATCCACATGAGTTCCTTGTACGCCCTATTAAGTTACACACATTTTTTGCTGCATTTTATTTAAAATTGTTTCCTCTAATTTCATTAGAGATATATTTCTCATTCGATAATTCAGTTCCTGTTGTGCGGAAATGCTAAAATACACAAAATCTCAAAATATCTTCATTAAAAAGTTGTAAAATACAAAAAAGAAGAATAAAATCAATTTTAGGTCCCACTGGGTTCAGCGACACTTAAGTTGGTGCACCAACTGACTTAATTCACTATACTACTAAGAATTTTCGCCCCATGTTAGGCTTAGCTGCACCTGCACTTTTAAATTATTGATAATTCTACAACTGGTTGCATGCAGATTAACTAAAGGCATGAAAACCTTAACCGGAACGTAAGACCAACATAATTCAATCACTTTGAAAGAAAAAATTGCACAATTTACCAACACATAAGATAAGAATATAAATACAGAGCTCACCAAGCCGGGTAAGAGTATATATATATATATATATATAATGTTGTATGAACTTAAATCGATTTAGTGCGAATACAAGTTATTATTACTTGCGCAATTGCTGCAAAGTTAGTTAATAATAATTTATTTCCTAAACAGTATTGATTAATTGATTATATTATCTCCTAAGTTTAATTAAAGTAGAATTATTTTAAAAGTGTGCATCCATACTGGTAAGTTATATTTTTGAAAGATGTTTTGAAGTAATTTGAAAGCAAAATGTTAATAATGTTAACGGGGACTGGAGTTAAATCATCACGAAGAATAATATTACAA